TAAGAAATTTATTGTAACAGGCATGCTAAAGATTTGGATGGAATGTGCAGACTCGGTACTATTTTTTTCTACACCTTACTTGGAAGTTCATTTGGCCTCTTTGATCTGCTGCTCTATTTGTAAGAATTCTTTTGTAACACCCATGGAAATGTTAAAGATGTTGATCCAGTTGAGTTTTTTTTGTCATGCTCATGTTAAGTCATTGAATTGTAATTTTTTTTTTCTGAAAGGAAACAAACTTGTATTCCTAGCTAAATTGCGAGCAACATACTCCCTATATGCCGTGAGCCGGAGAAGGTGCGCCATGTCATGAAGAAGAACACCGAGGAGGATGCCCGTGTCTGGGTCCTAGCGAAATGGCAAGCCTGGGACGCAACAACCCTCGAGGTGGAGTAAGCTCGGGCTGTCCGCGCCCTCGCCAGCCTCCCCCCGAAAGAGGACAAGAACCAGAGCCGGTCCAAACCATTTTTGGACCCGGGGCGATGTGAAACCATTATTTTTTATACCAAATTTTTATACTTATTTTAAACTAAGTGTACCATATAACAATTTTAACTAATATAATTTTCTATTACTTAGACACATAACAATGTTTTCAAATAATAGTTATATTATTCGTTGCTATACAATTTTAATACATCTTCGAGAATTTTTGATTTTTCAAAATTTGAAATGTAAGATATACCAAAAATTATCTTTTTTGTTTCCTATCTAATTTTATGATATTGCATAAATTGTATAGTGTATATACATATATTTGCATATCCATGCGCGCGTCCATATATCTTTCAGTATTATTGAATGTTTTAATAGAGGTTTCTAGTATATCAGGTAATCATATTCGTAGAAACTTCTAGGATATATCAAATGTGATAGCCAAGTTGGGTTCGGTGATAGAGTCATCTAAGAACCTAATATGTTCTTGAGTTGTGCTTTTGCGTATGATTCGATTATATCTGACATGATAATCTAGATTCACTTAGTTTGATTTGGTGCAAATGAGATGTACTATCTATTTCTCAAATAAAAATTAGTCAGATTAACTAGCTTCATTTTATCTTAATGTCGGAATGCCTAGGGCACAAAGTTGGACAGCTTGCCCCAGAACAAGAGAACCATGAGAAAAAACTGAAAAAGCAACTAAACTTGTCTATCTATCTTGCGTCTGCCGGGAGGGATTATATTTAAAAAAAAACAGGAATTAAGCGGTGAATTGTTCCGCTATGATCAATTAAGAGTGAGAAGCCCAATAGACGCAGGGTTCTTGGGTTCTATATGATCGAAGAAAGTGACAAAAGACAAATCGGTCAGCAAGTATTATACCTCGGTATCCAGGGATGCGAGGAGCTCAGCGAAGCTTGGGTATTGCTTCTGCTCGGGGGGTTCTCTCCGGTTCTCCCTCTTCTTGCGCCCCATGGCTGAGCAATGGGGAACTCCCTCGGGTCCGGGTGTTGCCTCCTTGCAGCTGATCGTCGCTTGTTGGGTCAAACCTTGTCTCCGAGACATGCACCAGCAGTAGCAGTAGTTACTTAGCCTCGAAGTGAAAATGGTAGCTGCTGGTCAGGTCGGCAAGGCGGTTTGCATAAGATAATCTTCACTGCATGTAGGCTGACAGCCACGAGTAAGAAGTGCTAGACTTCTCTAGCAAGCTCAGCTGATACGTAAGCAGTGACTTCATCTAGTATAGTAAGTCGGTTTGATCTTGTACTATATAAGGGGCTGAACCCTCCCGTTGGAAATCATTCCACTCCAATCCATTTGAGCTTCACAACAATCAGGGTGTCTGTGAGCTTCTCTCTTCCATGTGCGTGTGTGTATGAGCAGCACTAGACAGTGTGTGCTTTGCTAGTGTGCTGAGCGCAAGTAACACTAGCACGTAGCTCCTCCATCGGTCGTGTATCAGTGTACTCGAGTGCTAGCGAGTAGTTCTGGGCTAACATCGCTCTCCGGTTCCTAGCAACTGAGCGCCTGATCGGCCGCTCCTGATCCCCGCGTGCTGGTCTCGCCGCACGTCCTCCCTCTCTTGGTGCACAGAAGCCGCGCGCTGCTCCGGCTCTTGACGCGCCGCCGCGCGAGGGCGGGCGCTAAAGGCTCCTCCGACTCCGCGCGTCGCGCGCTTGCTTTCGGCTCTTGACGCGCCGCCGCGCGAGGGCGGGCACGCCGGGCTCCTCCGACTCCGCGCGTAGCGCGCTTGCTCCCGGCTCTTGACGCGCCGCCGCGCGGGGGCGGGCACGCCGGGCTCGTCCGACACCGCGCGTTGCGCGCTTGCTCTCGGCTCTTGACGCGCCGCCGCGCGAGGGCGGGCCTGACGGGCTTCTCGGACGCCTCGTGTCACACTCACAACCTTGCTCCCGGCTTGACGCGCCGCCGTGCGAGGGCGGGCGCGACGGGCTTCTCGAACGCCGTGCATCACAAGCTTGCTCTAGGCTTGACGCGGTGCCACGCGAGGGCGGGCGCGACGGGCTCCCCGGACGCTGCACGTCGCAAGCTTCCTCCCGGCTTGACGCGCCGCCACATGAGGGCGGGCGCGACGAGCTCCTCCGGCGCGCCGCCTCCTCCACGTGCAGGAACTGCGCTCGCGCTTGCTCCGACCCCGCTCCTCCTCCTATTCCGGGTGGTTGGCCGATCGTCTTCCTGGCGGGCGCGGCGCAGCGCAGGCGAGCTTGTTGCCGGGCTCGAGTTTTGGTGTTGCCGCCAGTGTCCGTTAGCAGGGTCATCTAGTACTAGTAGTACATCTAGAGATGGTCTAGGAATGCAGCTCAAAAAAAATTGTGTGGGTCATATATTGGCAAAATAGAAAGGGGGCCGAAATAAAAGCTAGCCCATACATGCAGTCGAAACTGAGAAGTGTGACTAGAACTAGGCAGGAAACCAACCAAAGTCAGGCTTGGCGCGAGGCACGACCCAAAAAACAAGCCTAAATCTGGGCAGTTTTTCAGGCGCTCCCCGCTTCTGGCCCAAGTCTGGGTGTTTTTCCATCAAAAAGCTTAATCAGGCCACCGACCGGCCCAGCAGCAAGGCACTCTACGTACGTGCATCCTTTCTTTTTTAGTGTGTGAGTCATGTATTATTGTGATCTTGACGTGAAGCCTCATGGGCGTCTGCACTTGCCTTTTTGCCAAGGTGGTATAGAGCAGTTTGTCCATTGACATATCCAGAAAAGACATTTTCGGACGAAGAATCTGCAATTCAACGTTTTGAGAAGATTACAATATGGATATGCAAAAGTGTAGAATCATCGGGCAATGTTGAACAAGCCGGGATGCTCCACTCATGCCATAATCTGGATGGTTATTCATAGTGCATTTTGGCCTCCCCTGTAGGTGCGGCTTCGGCTCGGCAGCCATGGACACACCCCTCCCCCTCCCCTCCCCCCCCATGGTTGGCCGATGCAGCTCCAGATCCGGTGCTCCGTGTGTTCTGTGTTCCTTCCGGCTCCTCCGGCTCGCCGTCTTTTTGGCGGCTCCGCACCATCCCCTGCAGGTGTTCTCGGTTGGTCTGCATCCACCCAGGTGCGGCTCTGGCTCCGGCTTGCTCCTGGACTGCGCCTCTTTTCTGGCTCCTTGGCTCGTTGGCGTCCTTGCGGCTCCTGTCCGGACGCCCCGGATCTGCACTCCTCTCCAGATCTGCGCTCCTCTCCAGATCTGGGCAATGTTTGACTAAACCGGGATGCTCCACTTATGCCATAATCTGGACCATTTTTATAGTGCGTTTTGACCTTCTGTAGATTATTGTAGTCGCCTGGGGCTAGTGCAGCTCATGTTGATGCTGCTCTCCACCTCATCCATGGCCGCCGCCAACGATGAACTCCCATTCGGGCCAACCGTGGTTATACTTTATTTTAGGTTTAACCGTGGTTACCCTTGGCCATGAAGTTTCCATGCCCTGCCATGGGCCTCACCCCGTTGATCTACACGATCATGAGGACCCATTCGTAGCAACCATGCGCGTTAAAAGCTTGCGGGAGAGAAAGGTGTACCAATTCTGTCCCTCCCGTCACTAAAGGTGTACCAATTCCGTCCCTCCCGTCTCTATAGTAAGTTCATTTTAAAATAAAAATATTCAAGTCCATGATTTTTTAATTTCTGAATTTATAAAATTTGCGATCTTTTTTCCAACTCACATATATTTTTGAATTCATGAACTTTTCAAATTCGTGTATATTTTTCAACCCTGAACTTTTTCAAATTCGTGAACCTTTTTTTTTATCCGCGTACATCTTTTTAAAGTGCGAATTTTTTCAATCTATAAAAACCGTAAACCATTAGCTTGCTGGTTTTTTCCTGAACGAGCAGCGATAGAGCGCGCGGCCAATCGGGACGAGGGACGAGCGGGCGAGCGATGGGAATGCGCTGATGGGCCGGCCCAGCTGTGCGCTAACAGGGTCTAAAAGAGCTCCCCACTTCTACTCAAAAAGAAAAAGAAAAAAAAAGAGCTCCCCACGGTTCGGGGTGTGGAGATAAAAATTCAGCAGTATTTTGGCGGCCGCCGCTTGGTTGATTGGTTGCTGCCGCCGGCACCGCTACCTGCTGATCCCGCTCCCTTGTCGCGCACCGGCACCGCGGCCTGCTCCTGCGATCCCGCCTCGCACCTGCCCCAGCGGCAGCCGCCGCGCTGCAGGCTTGTCACCTTCGATTCAGGTGAGGTTCAGGGCTTCAGGCAGCCGGCGGTGGTTCTTGTCTTTTTGACATTCGGTATCATGTGTATGTGTCCAGTATATCGCGATGTGCCATACTTTAGTGCTGTGATTAAATACTCTTGTGGTAATTTTCAAAATAGGAGATCAAGAGATTATTTTTTCTGGTTGCTACTTTTTGGTATCTTGGTATTGTCCATTGTAGTTTCCGTCATGTTTCGTCTATTTGGACCGTCAAACATTAAGTAGAAATTCTAGATTTATTGGGCAATGTTCAATAAGCCAGGATGCTCCACTTATTCCATGATCTGGACCATTTTTTATGATGCGTTTTGACCTTCTGTAGATTATTCTCGTCAGAACCATGCTGCTGGAGATTTTTGGATCTGGAATGAGACTAACACTGAATAATGACCGAGTTCTAAGATTGCTCTTTGGTGACCGATCTGCTTATGCATCCTTTGTCCTGGCAAGCAACATTGCAGTACAAGGAGTGAATAATTGGGGCAGGCCAAATTGGCTCTGCGTCCTCCCTTATGCCAGTAACTATTTCTGCACCTCCATCTATGCCACCAAAGGCAAACAATTTGCCATCACCAAGGGGATGAACAGATCAGAGATGAAGGGGCGAACGAAGCAAGTCCTTGTTGGCCATGCCTCTTATCCTGTATCTGAAGCCAACATCCTTAAGAAAACCACCCATCGGGATGGTTCTATATACAAGATAAACTATGGTTTTCTAAAGCTATGGCATCTTACTCAACGTGATGAGAGTAAGTTATCTTGATCTCTTCTATACCGTGTTCCATTTTATTTTTAGGATGCTTAACAGCTATATGGTTTGGTTGATGATTTAAAATGCATTATTGTATTTTAAAAAAAATGCAGTAAATATCTGGATTGTTATAAAGAATTTATGAATTAGCAAAAAGTATCATGCTTTATTTGGATATATAAATTTATCGATATATCATACATGGTTAGGATCTTGTCACTAGTTTTAGTCCTACAAATAAGTGCCCCTTGTATTCATACACCAACAACCTCCATGACTCATAAAATCAAACGACATTATGATTTTTCTTTCTAAACTACACAAATAGGTATTGACAAGCGTAACTATAATTTTATTCTTTTGTGTAAATTGTTTGTATAAAACATTATTTGTTGTAATATAACATGTATTTTTTTTCATGAAGCACAACTAGAGCCAATGATGTTCTCGAATCCCACGAATTGTTTCCCGGATAGGGATAGATGCATGGTACATGATGCAACTGAAATGATGCAGATTTTCTCACTGAAATTGGAAAAGGCTAGTACCAACATCGGCTTGGTACAACTATATGGATACATAGCAGTGCGTGATTGTCATGATTCATTGCTTAATTATGTCTTCAATCGTAGTAGAGATGATCCCATCATTGTGGAACAGGTGCACATTTTTACATATATATGCAATTATATTTGATATTTCATTCATTTAAATCATAGGATTTTCTCTCTCTTGGGATTCATTTGCGCTATAGTTTATTGAAATTCTATTCACTCCAAGCTTTTAGGAAGACTCCTATGCTTTTCCTCCTCACAATCAAACATCCTTTCAGTCATCTTGTACTGAAGATGACGTGACACTCTAATCTTGTGCTTTATTAGTGTAACACTTTTCGGGAATCCTGCAACCAAAGAGGTCAAATATTTGAGGTGTTGCTGATGGTGGCACCACTCTGATGATCTTATTTGTATGACTATATGCATTCATTTATGCAAATGCATGTGCTTTGAGGATCTTCTACAATGATGTGTTTTTCCCTTTGCATATGTTAGGTAAGTTTGTGGTTAGTTATATTTGCATGATTTATCGAAGTCATGTTCCATATGCAATCAAATTATGTTTGTTGATAAAATATCTCAAATAATTTTGTTTTGAAGGGTTTAGATTTTATGCTATCATTTATTTGAGATCTGTTGTCAATTGGCATAAAGTAAAGCATATGCTTCACATATTTCTTACTTTCCATAAGGAGCTACTAAATAATAATAGGTTTACAGGGTTCTCTTATTGAGATGACCGGCCCTAAGAGAGGCATCACAATGGTAGCCCCTGCTCTAGTTGAGTTTGACATGAGGATCAAGAAAGGAAAGCAAGAAGATGATCTACAACTAATTGATGGTGCAATGGAGTACCACGATCTAGTCACACCTGAGTACCCATTCACGGATCGGATTAATGGCGATTGTGGCGCGGTTGACATCACTGTAGCCCTCGTTCGCTGGGCATTTGAGGCCACAATAGATGTTGTCATATCAAAAGTGCAGTGTGGATTTGATTTATCTCTCAGTTCGTGTGTTTCCCTTATGGATGGTTTACATGAGATTCAACTCTTTCGTGGTAGTGTTGTTGAGTCATGTCGCTTAAGAAGATATGTGATTGCTGTAAAGAAGGATACTTGGATGCATTTGAAGTTCAAGGTAGGTCAGAGAAGTAGTAAAAATGATCTTGATCACCATTGTTCCTTCAAAGCAAAAAAACATGGGTACAACTATCAGCAAATCATGCTTGAGCTTGCCTCCATCTCAGTGAAGGTTACTTGGTCGAACTTGCAAAGGTAATTCACTCTTTCATATTCGAACTTGGGTTGAGTTACTAGTTGAATGTACGTTTGTTGCCACAGAAAAAATTTAAATGGATCCACAAAAATTGTATTCTTTTATTATTGTACTGCCTTTGTAAACAAATGTAAAGACGTCTTATATTTGTTTACCGAGGGAGTATTTTTTATTCAGCTCTATTAGAGTTGTGTGAGTTCAGATTTGTACCATTTTATTAACATTATTAATATATAGTATATATTTGTATGACTATCGGACGGACGACGGCGAGAAGAGCAGGTAGAGGTAGAAATGCCGATGGTGTGTGAAGAATATATCTGCACGTGCACAAGTCGCACGCTGTATTGAAGCGGAGACATGGCTGGCTCATCAACAGTCGGCCGGAGAGCAATTGTCTGCATGTGACACACGTGAGTAAATAGCATAAAACTACTAGTTTACAGGCTTTGGTTCCAAAAAACTACCACTTTTTAATTTTTCTCAAAAAGCTACCAAACGCGGGGTCCGCTGTTTCAAAAAACCCAAACCCTCGGTGACTAGCGATTTAACCATTTTTCTGACGGATCGGGCCCATCTGTCAGCCCACGTGGCCACGCGCGCTCACGACGCGGACATTAACGGCCGTTAGCCGACCGGCCCGGTCGGAACTGGGGTAAATATACCCGCTCGGTCAGTCGGGCGCACCCACTCGCTCACTCTCTCGTGCTCGCTTGCTCACTCCCCTGCTCTCAGTCCCTTGCTCCAGTACGAGCTCGCCGCCGCTCGCCGTCTTCGAGGCCGGTGGCCGTCGACCCCTTTGCCGTAATGCCTTCCTGGAACGACGAGGAAACCAGCTCGGAGGAGGAGTGCGAGGTTGTCAGCATGGACATGGGACTTATGGTAAGTTCTTTGCCACCTAGGGTTAGGGTTAGGGTTAGGTGTTAGTAGCCCTAGGCTACAGCCATGGATGTTGCTGAGTGTAGTGTTGTTGTTGTGTGTGTGATACTGTTCTTGATTAGTGAGGGTGGGGTTTGATTGTAGGATTGAGGTAAAACCTAGGGTTCATCTCTGTACAGTGTTAGGGTTCATGCTGATTTGGGGATTTTTTAGTGATCAGGTTTAAAACCTAGGGTTCATCTCTGGTATTGAGTGCAGATTGAAACTAGTGTTTGTTGGTTATTATGGTTGCAGGAGGAACCAGACACCACTGTGGAGCCCCTTTTCTGTGGCCAACTTGAGTTTGCTCATCCCAAGTGCATTCTGCACCAACTGAGGCCTATTAAGCGTGTTGCTTTTGAAGGGCCTGTAATAGGAAGGCGTTTCTATGGCTGCCCAGTCCAGGTTAGATGCCAATCAAGTTTTCTGCTATGGATGTTCAGTTATGTTATTAATAGTTAGAAAATCTCAAGTTTATCAATTTAATAAGGGAATTGAAATAAGGTACTAGTCCATTTGTAATAACTTATCACATTTACAAATGCAGGAAAATGGTGTGAATTGTGGTGTTGTAGAGTGGGTTGATGGGCCTTGGCCAACTATTCTTCAGAGATGTTTGTGCAAGCTATGGGAGATGTTCCATGAGCAGAACATTGGAAGGGTGCAGGACAAGGAGAAGTTTGAGAAGGAGTTGGCCAGGCTTAAGAGTGAACATGATAGGGAGTTGGCCAAGCTTAGGACTGAAAATGACAAGCTTTGCATTGAGTACACCAAGCTTGTTGATGATGTATCCAAGATGTTTGATTGGCAGGATGGTAGGGTGGACAGGCAGGTGTACCAGAAACAAGTGCAGGAGGAAGAACTTGAGAAGAAGAAGAAGGAGCTAGAGGAGAAAGCTATGTTGGAGGTGCAGATGGAAAAGCTCAAACTTGCAAAAGAGCAAAGGTGCATTTTGCAGAGCCAAGCTGATATCATCAAGAACACCAGGAAGGCTATGAAGGATGTTCAAGTTGACAGAGATGTTCTTAAGAAGGAGAAGGACAAGCTTGAGCTTGTTGTTGCTGAGCTGCTGAAAGATGGCTATGGCAGCAAGGAGAAGTTAGAGCAAATCAAGGCCATCCCTGAGTCTTGAACTTGCTGTGATATGTTGGTGAAGTAAGTACATCCAAAGGCCTTTATATAAGGAAGTGGCCTGGCATGACTGCAAGTGATTATGGGTGTACATTTTGGGGGAATGTGAAGTTTAACCTAGTGTAAGAACCTTATTTCCTATGTTGTTAAGTTGTAATGGATCACCTATGGTATTAAGTGTTGTAATGGATCTCCTATGCTATTAAGTAGTGGAAATGGATCGCTTATGCTAATAAGTTGTGGAAATGGATCTTGTATGTTGTTAAGTGTTCAACTTGATCTTATATCTTTTATATGTTATTTGCTAGCCTACATATATTATTTCTGTGGGTAATTGGGCTTAGTGGCCCACTAGTCTCTGACCAAATGCAGCCCTAGGCCTACTAAACCCAACCCCATCCATCTCTCAATATAAACCCGTACCCACCCCCACCCTTTCCCAGTGACTCCACCAGCCGCCACCCAAAAGAAACCCTACAGATGGATCCTAACATGGGAGATGTCACAGAGGAAGAGGGGGAGGCTGTGGAGGTTAGGACAGCAGCAGCAGCACAGAGGAGGAGGAGGCGGCGCAGGCAGAGGGCACTAGAGGCGGCCCAGGATGAGCAGTAAGAGGAGTTCAACCACCGACTCTCCAACAAGGTACTGGAGAAGTGCAATGATGAAGAACTAGAGTTGGTTTTCACTGGCGGCGGGGGAAGGTCATTCATGGAGATCATTAGGTGGGCAAGGATGAGGGCAGTCATGGCTCCTCATCCAGCAACTAGGGCCAAGTGGGTCCGTTTCTTTGAGCGCTATGACTGATATGTCAATCTATCTGTCTATCTTGCTATCTATCTTTCTATCTGTAAGTCAATTTCAGAGAGAGTTTTGGTAGTATTTGTGAGATTTGGATGTAATCTATGAGACTATCTTTCTATCTATGTAACATTTGGATGTTTCTAAATAAATGTACTTGGTCAGCACCATCAATTTTTCAAGTGTTGAATCCACATATAGATAAAAGTTGCAGATGAATTGAAGTTGCAGACAAGTGCAGAATCCACATACAGTACCATATTACAAACCAAATCAAATAGTGCAGTATCAAGTACTTAGTGAGGCAATGTTATTACAAACCAAATCAAACAGTGCACTTGTAGCAGATTGTCTAGGAGTGCACTTGGCTTCAGCTAGTTACCACTTGCATAAAAGTAATCTTTCAGCCTCCCAGATGGCTTCCTGGCCCTCTTTAACCCCTCCTGCACAGCACTTGTAGAAGATTGTCTAGGAGCAATGAAAGATCCATTGCCAGCTCTATTGGCAGAAGTTGACCTGGTGTTCTTTGCTGGAGAAGACCTTGATGACCTGGTGTTCTTTGCTGGAGAAGACCTTGATCCATTGCCAGAAATAGTTGTGTTCTTCTTCTTGGGAGGTGGTACTAGTGTTGCAGAAGAGGTGTTGGTCCTGCTCTTCTTGAGAGGTGGTGGTGTTGCTGTTGTAGCTAGTGTTGCCCTCTTCCTTGATCTAGAAGTTGTCTGTGTTGACTCATTTGTTGTTGGAGGAGGAGTTGGTGCAGGTGCAGAGGCAGCAGGTACCCTTGGTGGCCTTTGTGCAGTTGCAGCCATTGAAGAACCAGCCTCAGAGTAGTTTGCTCTATTTTCCTACACAACAATATTAGTTAGAACTATTTTTCTACAAATGAAATGAATGTAACAATGCAATGAATGTAACAATGGAATGAATGGACATACCTGGTGCTTGTTCAGCCTCATCTGGAACTTAGGTTTCAAAGGGACACCACAATTGTTGATCCTGTGCCCTTGCTTCTTCCAGTTGCTGCATGTCACTGTACCAATCCTAGAAGTATCCTTTTTAGCTGGCACCTCAAACAGGCCTTTCCTCTTGGTAGTTTGTTTTTTACCTTTCTTTTCTCTAAAAACAGGGGGAGAAATATCATCACCAGGTGTATGAGGCCAATGGTCAGGACCTGGCACAGGGAATATGATGTGCTTATATGTCTCACAATACATGGGTTTCTTGAAGAAAGTAGAAACATATTCTTCAGGGTGTATCTTCACTTTCTGCATTGCAACAATGGCATGACTGCAGGGGACAGCTGTCATGTCCCACCTCCTACAGTCACAGGTCTCATTGTTCAAATTAACATAATATGTGTTTTCAGAGCTACTTGTGACCTGCCATATGCCTGGCCCTGCCATGTATGCTTCACAATATTTAGCCCACTTCTTCCCCTCTTCTAAAATCTCTGAATAAGTAGGTGTGATTTCCCATCTGCATGTCTCTGTCTTCTCTCTGATCTTCTGAAACTTAATCATCAGCTTTGTTCTTATGCCCTCTAACATAGTCCTGATTGGCTTGTTCCTAACATCCAATATCATTCTATTGAAAACCTCACTAAGGTTGTTTACTAACAGGTCTGTTTTGCACACAGTGTCCATTTTATACCTAGCCCAGGTATACTCTGGTATCTGTGACAACCACTGCCAAGCTTCTAAACTTTCTTTTTTCAAATTCTCCATGCCTAAATCATGTCCATGTTTGGTAAAGGAATAGGCAGCCTGATCTAAATGTTTCTTAAGTTCCTCTCCTCTGAAACCAGCAGATTGGAAATTGGCATAAGTATGTCTAAGATAAAACCTTTGTGGAGAGTCAGGGAATACATCATCTATTGCATTCAACAATCCGTGTTCAATATAGTGTAATCTTAAGTGTTACTCATCTACTGAATAACATTTTACTCATGGCAAATGTAAAGGCAAATGTAAAGACTAGGTTCAGAACAATACCTTCTGCCTGTCAGACATAATTGTGTATTTGCCAAACTTATTGCCAGTTCCAATGACTGTTCTCAACTGTGTGAGAAACCATGTCCAACTTTTTGTCTCTTCCTTATCAACAACACCAAAAGCTATTGGGAAGATGTTATTGTTGCCATCCCTCCCTGTAGCTGCCAATATCTGCTGACCAGTGCTTAGCTTGATGAAGCAACCATCCAGACCTGCTAACATGATAACATGAGTGCCTAAGTACATCAATGTTTAAAAAACATATAAATTTCTGAATACTTACCTATAAATGGCATGCATCCATTCAGAAAACCCTCCTTGCATGCAAACAAGCAGTAAAACATATAGTGAAACCTTGGGGTAGGAGCTGGGTTAAGTGGGTTCTCATGTGTTGTTACTATGCACCTACTGCTAGGGTTAGTATCTAGCACACACTGCAGGTAGTCCCTTATTCTGTGATACTGGAGTTTGTG